TACATTTTCAGTGTAAGAAAACGTCAACTTCCAGTGCAATACCTACATTTTCAGTGTAAGAAAACGTCAACTTCCAGTGCAATTCCTACATTTTCAGTGTAAGAAAACATCAACTTCCAGTGCAATTCCTACATTTTCAGTGTAAGAAAACGTCAACTTCCAATGCAATTCCTACATTTTCAGTGTAAGAAAACGTCAACTTCCAATGCAATTCCTACATTTTCAGTGTAAGAAAACATCAACTTCCAGTGCAATTAATTACCTCCTCTCACATAATACCCAGAATCCCACATTGAAATGGTGGAGGGGCTGGTGAAAAATCAGCTAGATGAGCACTTATGGAGTGTGAAATCTCAATGGAGAAGTTACTCCCGTGGGACACTGCACTACATCTGTACCAGGTATACTCTTCGCCTGTAGCAGAGAATTGTGTCACAAAAAAATGTGGAAAGAAGCACATCTAAGAATTTGGTCATGCGAATGGTGTAGAATGGCTAGGGAGCAATAGACCATAATTAGTGGGTCAATTCCAGACAAAATCCTGGTAGCACCAGAAATAACTCATCAGGGCCACAGTAGGAGGAAGGTCCCTACCATCTTCACCTCAGGCCTAGGAATTAGAAGGGAAAGAGGCCTTCCATTCTGAAAACCCAGGCCAGCACATGGATGCAAACTTAAGACACAACCAACACCAGCCAACATACAGGTGATGGTAGGAAGGTGGAATGCAACATGGAGGGTCAACTCCATTCCAAAACTAGTCAGCATTAGGGATGGTAGGAGGAGAATCCAACCACATGGTCCAGCTCCAATCAGCATCAGCAGGTCCTGGAACCAACACCCAGGTGGTAGTAAATAGGAGAGTTCTCAGCTGGTGGGGTGAAATGCATGTGATGTCATCTGGAATTGTACACCAGGTCAACAGTAGGAGGAGAGTACACCTCATCTACACTAGCAAAACATCACCACCCTACTCTCAACTGAGTGGGATTGAGCACACTCAGGAGGCAGCCTACATGGTCCACCACCCTAACAGCTAGGAGTTGGTAAGGACACCCTTGTTCCACAAGAAGGAGGGAGGGAATAGTGCAGTGGGGAGTCTGGAGGAATGCATCACAAGAGAAAGTGACTGCAGAACCCTATATTTAAAAGCAGGCTGCACATGAAGTATTCAATCAGGGTCAGAGGAATGTGCAACAATCCTTTCCCTGCTTTACTCCTAATAGTCACCGAGTTTGTACAGTCTGGGACAGGCATATTTATGGAACACCACATCGCAACAGTGGGAGTTATAGACCAAAAGGGTCAAGTAGGGAAGATCTGATGGTTTGGCCAGCTCATACCCAGATCCCCTGGAGACTGACATTCAGTAGGAGGTAGGTTGGGGTTCACTAACTGAATAGTATACCTGGACAGGCACCACTCACCACAGAGCAGGATCCAACAAGAAGCATAGGGTCACTGTAAGTGAAAAAGAAAATCTTCCCCACTCACAGTTGAACTGAGGAGTGTAAGATGGTGACAGGAGGTCAATGGTATCTGGTTGAGGAGGAGATGACCAAATGACAAAGATAATGGGTGATGAAAGTGTGCAGTGTGGTCTACTTGTCAGCTTGGATGATCTCCTCCAACGGATGAAGGAAATGAGCAGCCAGGGACATGGTGAGGTGGTGGATCTGGTGAGAGTAGACGTGGAAAAAGTGATGGGAATCAGAGGAACAAAAAGCCAAACAGATAAATTGGAAAACCTAACATGTAACTGTAATTGAAGAAAGGTCATGGGAGGAATAAGGATTCCAGTAGATAAGTAATCAAGAATGGGAACCATAGAAGGAAGCCATACACACCACGTAACATCTGAGAGCCCAGACAGGACACAGGAGGCAATCTGGATCAGAACGTAGATATAAATGATAAATCAGCATGAAAGCAAAATTACCCTTTTCAAGCCACAGATGTCTTGGAGAGAAAGAAGCAATCAGTATAAAGGAGAACACAAGTATTAAGGTATAGGATTTGACAGACGTTGAAAGCGAACACATCCAACTGATGACCACGGGCCAAAAGGAGCAGGAAACAGGTCTTCAAGGAAAGGTGGTATGGGTAATAGGAAGACAGGGGTTCAAACACGAAAAAGTAAGGGCATGCAGAATAATATTAAGATTCCAATCCAGTAAGTGTGTGGGGTGAGGAGAACAGAGGAGATGAAAGAAACAAAACAAGAGGAAGAAAACAGGAGATGAAAACATACAGCAGAAGTGGGAAAACAAAGGTAGAGGACAATGTTGCCCGATAGCCTGCAACATTCAAACAGAGAGACCATTGTCAAACAGTCATGTGAAGAACTTGGAGAGATGAGGGACACTGGAAAAGTAGGAAAGGAAATCTTGTCCTAGAGACCAATAGCAAAAGATACACCATTTCCTCTGATAAGTCTACAAGGAAGATGGGCAGATTGAATGGGAAATAAGGGAAGCTACACATGTAGAGAGTCTGGACTGCCTTGCAATGGACAGGACAAAAGCCAGACAATGGGAACAGCAGGGTGAAACACAGGCACATGAGGTTGGCAGAGAAGGGAAGTGGACAGGGGAAGAGGTAAAGGAGGTGATGACAGAATTAACAGGAACCACAGTTGAGCAGGCCAGAATGGGGCAATCAGAAATACTTGACACAGAGTGGCTTGTATACTTCACAAAACACTGGAAAGAAGGATAGGAGGGTTGGCATAAAGGTAAAAATTGGTTCAATCCTGACTGAAGGTATCGACTGCCAAAGCCAAAGAATGTGGAATCGGGCATCAGAACAGAGCCACTGCAAGACCTGGGGATTGAGGAACCAATTCATTGGGAGAACCTTCTTGGAATGAGATAAACGATCTGCAACAGTCAAGAGGTGAACATGTTGAGTATGGGGCCACAAAAGAAGATTTAACATTTAGAAACAAAGGGAACATGAAAGGGTGCCATTCTGTCAATTGATGTAGGAGACAACAGTCAAATTATTAGAATGGATCCTGACTAACTTGCACCCACAAAACTGGAAGAAAATGATCCAAAGCCCAATGAACTTCTAGGACTTCCAGAAGATTGATGTGAGATCTTGACTCGACCAACACTTTTTGAGAATCCAAATATGCCTCCAACACGGTCAGAGAAGTTTCTGTGAAAAGGTGGAAGAGGAACTTTAACTGAGATGTTGTCCCTGTCAAATCACCAAGCAAAATGGACTTGAAGGGAAGGAGGGAGGATACAAGAATCCAGGAAATCCCTGGTGAGATTCCTTTGATCTTATAAAATCCATTGGAATGCTCTTATGTGAGCACAACCAAGGGGAATAAGGACTTTCATAGAAGCCCAAGTCCCCAAAAGAGATAGAACCTTGCATATATACCAGTATTAGGAGACCTGTACTAACCTTACTATCAGGTGGTGGCCTACAATTAGATTTCCAAGTTCAGTGTCAACAGTTTTTCTGGTCCAACTGTGGAGTGATGGAAATTTGCAAATGTTGGCCAGTATTTTGGGGACTTTGAAGATTCAATCCGATTGAATACATACTGTCACCATTGACAACAGACGATTATATGAGGTTCAGTTTAGTGCTAGTGTACTAGGTGAGACAATACCTCTTTTGCATCAGAACTTTTCACCATATAAGCTTAAATGCAAAGGAAATATTGTGGTTGACAATATATTCAACACTCTTGAGTTTGAATGAGACATCAACGTCATTGTCAGATTCATGGATCTCTATAAAGGTATTACATCAAACCAAGATAGATGCGAGATATTCCACAATAATTTGTGAATGTAAAGAAATTGTTTGATTCTAGTATAATAACTACTGCCAGATGAATGGATGTTTCTAGTCCAGCAAATGCTAAAGAGGAATGATAGGAATAAATGAAAGTCCAGGGGTTGCTCATGCGGTAAGGAAATAATCAATGCAAAAAAAAACAACAACTGGGAAACTGACATCTAAAAAATGATTGATACCACTCTTGACACAGACCATTACAAGAACTTCATTCAATTGAAATCATCTCTGCATCCCAGAAGGCAGGAAGCACCAAAATCTAGCTGTAAAACATTTGAAATGTTTATGACAGTACCAAAGATGGTTTACGGTGGCAAAAGTTAGGAATTAGACACTTATACAAAGTGTGTGACAGCACCTTTATAACATAGTACCAACACCAGATGTCAGGCTAAAAATCTTTTTTAAAAAAAAAAGATGACATTCCAAGAAAAATCTACGTGAAAAAATAATTTATCTTCTGCATAAAAACAAAAATTTTGTTAAACGATGTTTTTATTTAATTCAAATTGTGCAATCAAAATGTATGATAATGATGTGTATCTTGCACCCATTAAAAAAAAATAACATTTCTTAAAACTAATTTCAGAGATGGGAGCAGCCCTTAAATATACCCTAATTAGTAGCATCTATACAATCAAGCGTCACAAACGTGATAAAATAAATAATGTATTCAAAGTAAACCTCTAAACATTTTGAAGTTAACAAATTTTTTATGATATCTGTACAGAAAAAAAGTGAATGACGGTTGAACTTAAAAGAGGGGAGGCAATATTCACACATTTACCAAAACACCTGCCGAATATTTTATCAGATAAATGATAAAATTTACAGATTAATGTACAACACGAATTTCACAAAATATTACCGTTATGTTCAAAAGGGAAAAAAATCTCTGCCCAAAATAAAAAGAGGGTTTTATGTTGTTATATATCTATGAAACATTCCTAAATGTAAGAAAAGCTTGTTACATTACAATTACGAAACAAAAACGAAAGAACAATAAAAACTGCCATCTATCATTCTAAACCTGAAACATTCAGATATCTCAACAGTGAATAAACAGAAATCATTTCACCTCAGATTTATCTCTTAGCAACCACTACAATCATCTATGGAATACAATATAAATGTTATCTTACAAAGTTTACGCCAGAAATGGTAGTAAGTGAACGAGATACTTATGTAACTGTACCGGGTAGCAGTCTACGAGCTACATTTTCTGCCAATCTCAGCAGTGGTCCCGAACATGGCCATCCAGGTTCTAATTCTACTCCAGCTCTTCTAGATAACAGGTGTGCAGAAAGAAGTCCTCCTACCACTGAATAAAATAATGTAACACAAAATGATGACGTTTCAGAATGCGTTTTATAAATATCAGAAAATACGTCACTATGCTGAGTATAATAATTAGAATTTTAATGTGTACATCAATTAAAAAAACTATTTTAAGAAATGGCACATTATTTGAAATTTACTTATGCATATATACATGTAATCCTGTAAAATGAGAGTACAAACTATACGTAAAGTTTACGCTTCATTTATATAGAATTTTCATTAATACGCAATACGCTTGCGATTCCTCTTTTAAAATATGCATAAACCCGTCAGGTGTTATCTTGGTGTATATACTAATTTTAAACTTTAAGAAATACATGCGACTTATGTGGTGATTTGACGTACACGCAATGTATATAAACATCTGTACATAAATATTAGTGCTACATATTACACTTAAGTTTTAACTTTAGCCTAAACAGGCAATTTTTAATGCCTTAACTCTTTCCGTATAATCTTGGTCATTTTGAACAACCTTGTAAACACCAGGTAACCAGGAAAATACCCATACTATAGCTTTTAGTGTTGTACATGTACCTTCACAAAATTTGGCAAGCTTTTAGTAAGCATTACAAGTCTTGTACACAAAAAAAATCAGATTTTTTAATTAAGTGCTCATATTAAAGACTTGTCTGCAAATATATGGAGTTAAGAGCACTGACTAGTCCAAGTGCAAGGTGATTCAATAAAGGCATTTTTAATTCATCTTACAGTTTTCAAGTTTCAATAGCCTCTAAAACCTAAATGAATATCAAATGTATTTTTAAGTAAAACTTGATATTTTATTGGTTATTTTCTCTACCCTAACCCTCTATGGACTCGGTTGCTTGGACCAACCTTTTAATTTAAATTACCCTTTTTTTTCTACAATGATTGTAGATTGTAATAGAAAAACCACAGTTGTTTATTCTAAGTACCTTATATTGTCCTTTGAACTGTGTCAAACTAATAATACTGTGATTGAAGCTGTAAATCACTTGATGAATGCATGACTTAAGTTACCATACTGAATTACTCAAGTTAACATTTTCCTAAAATGAAAATGTGTTTCCAATAATACTTACCTCCACTGACATTTATAGTTATTTCTCGACCTCCTACATCAACGAATGAGGTGCTTATACAAGATACCACGATAGAGGGTGCATTGACATAGGTGTAAGGTATCATGAGATATATATATCACCAAGGGCAATTGAGTGGGGATAAAAGACTAGAGCAAGTGAGAAAAAAATAAGAACAATGCTTAGATGGGCAAAGGGAGAAACTCTGGAGGTTGAGTATTAGCTATAAGTGTGAGGGAGGTAAGTATGTTTTGAAATTAAACATTTCCTTAAAACATTATATATAACACTTCTAGATGTCTTTTAAACTATATGTTGCAATGTAGTTTTACCCCAAAATGGCAGTAAGACTATTCCGTTTTGTTCATAAACAAATGAAACCTTCAACCTTTTACAATCTATTTATTTTCCTACTTCAAACACTTTGGATTCAAAACTTCAATCACGTACAATGTCATTATTCTTTGTTATTAAATTAATTTATATCATCACAAGTGCACCAAAAACTTACCTCTAATATTAGTTTCAAATACTGAAACATTAATGTTGCTATTGAAATCTATTTCTTTCACTATTAGTTGTGCCACTCTTTGAAATTCACTAAAGTTTCCCATCACAGCTAGAGTATCCAGAGAATCAATAAGAGAAAGGGAAAAACTTCCCCATGTGTCAACGCCATCACAACTCAGAGGTCGTAGTTCATCATATGGCTCGGCATATTTTAAATAGCTATCATAGGCATGGTAGAACATCTTCGTAACCCGATCCCTTAAAAACAAAATGAAATAATTTGTGAATACATAATTACCATCTCATAGATGTATAAACCATTATTAACCCTAAATCTATAACTTTAGCATGATGATTGTAAAACAGTGTTGTAGTAAAACAATAACACTCTCCTTTCAATTCAATGTACTGTATCATTTAATTTATTCAAGATAATTTATTTACTTATATATATATATTGGCTTATTGTTTATTTAGAATTAAAATTAATTCATCATCTTTGTTTTCATTCCTTTTTTTTGGCAGCCACCCTGAAAAAGCTTTACAGCCCACAGGGAGGGGCGACGGCTCCCACTTTAGGAAACATTGGCCTAGATTATTGATTAGTTTAGTATTGAAAATAGGTCTTCTATAGGTAAATTACTTTGATAAGTAACAGACTTCCACCAAAATCTTGATGCAAACAAGAAGGAAAAACTCAAATAAAAATTACTTTAGAAAAGATGAGCCCAAGAGTTATATTGTTTGAAAGCTCTGATACTAAATTAACCTTTTAAGGTGATTTTAGTGTGTGTTGGAAATTTTCAATAGTTTCTGCATGAATGACTCCTAATTTTAGGGTTAACCATTATATACATATAACCTGTAACTTTCATACATTTCACACTGCAGTATAAAATCTTTATCTAAGCTAAATAATGTAATACATATAGTGTTTATTAAAAATTACTGTGCAATACACTTAACAATATTTTAGCAAAACCAATACAACAATTTTTACACAGCATTATCAGATATAATTTAATTCCATATAACATTTCTTGGTTGGTAGCTTTCTCCACTAGTATATGACAATCAATAACTTTCAAACATAGAAAAAAATCCAATAAAAACACTGTTGCAGGACTGTTTATTTTAACATTATAATATGAACTGGCCAATTGAAAGTTTCTAGTCAGAAAGATGCATTTAAAAGAAAACTCAATTACATTTCTCTATTGCTGACATAATTATCGGATATTCTAAAATATCATGCTACAAATTACAATAGCAATAACGTTGTGATAAAAACTGAATGACAAGATATCTTATTTTTGCAAAACTCTTAATATTTAAAACAAAATATATTAAAGACTCAAAGAAAATAGTGTTTTTTGTATACATACTTAAACTGTGATATAAGAACAGTAATGTACAAGATTAATAAACACATTATAAGCTAATAAACTGTTCATTAGAATCTTGTGTTGAAACAATTAATTCAAATGATCACATCATGTAATCATTCACATAGTGTAAAACAATATCTTTTAAATATCTTCATTAGATAATGTAAACATTGTAAGTGTATGCCATAAACTATTTCAGAGCTGACAAAAGCGATCAAAGAGTTAGAATCATATATAATTTTACATGTGATGTACTTATCTCTACAGGTATGCATTTTTAAAATGAAACAGAAGGTTAAAGCAAATTAAATCACAAAATATACATGGTAATCTACAACAGTGGTTTCCAAACTTTTTCACCTTAACCTACTTATCTTGATTTGTATGACACAATACCCCTGCTGTCACATGCAACGTTTCTTTATGCTATTAATTATTCTTTGTTTGGTGAAACTCTCGTGACACTTCTAGCAATTCGCTGTGACACACAGTTTGGAAACAACTAATCTATAAGGTTTTATGCCTCTCATATATATGTTTAAGCAACGTTACAAAGTTTTATAAAAAATACAAGATTACTTAAATCTTGTATGAATACGCTAACCTTCACATAAATCGTTTACTTAATAAATACACACAATTAAGTAAAAAAAAAGGTAGAATGAAACCAATAAATTATAAATATATGTGTATATTAAGAAGCTACAGCATTAGCAAGTAGCATAGAATAAAAAGAAGAATTTTTACAATCAAATGTAAATTTTTCTAAGTTATTCAGTAGTGCAACAACTGGTACATATATGAAGATCTTAAACCATTCATACAGAGTACTGCATATATCTTGTTAGGAGTTAACACACTATAAATTCCACTGGAAGATTTCTTCATCAGATGAAAAAGAATAAATTGTACAAGTAGTATAAACTTTCCTCGTTGTAAAATGCGTGTAACAGTTGATCTTCAAATTACATATTCTGCGATATACAGGTTCATTCATATAGTGTACATGTAGATATAATAATACTCTAAGTTGATTTAATATGATATTGTTTGCCGTAGTTTTCTTCCTTCCTCATTTTCACTTAGATAGAAAACCTAACCATTTCCCGAAGTCAAGTACATAATTAAATGTTGTACAAGAGTAAATGCTAGGACTTTATTTATGCACCAATTATCTAATGTTTATTGCTTTGAGTTATGTTTTTGAGAATGCTAAAATTATAATTACTTAAAAGGAACTCAAAAAGAAGAGTAAAGTATACTGGTCTTCTCGTACATGTACACACACACATATATATATATATATAAACGCAAACCAACGTGAATTTCATTATGTCACTCATCAGATCAAAATTAAGATATAACAATAACTTTACATAAAACAAACATTGAGAACAAACTGAAAACCAGCTTAGTGAATGGTTGATGGAGACATTATTTGGCACTGGGAAAATCAGTACGATCATAGCCGTATACAAGTTCCTCCACAGAAGAAAGTCAGTCAGGGATGTTTCAATCTTCAAATGTAGTCCCACACACAATTTCATTAACAAAAAAGAGATGAAATTTATACTTATTTTAGCAATAAGAATAGTGTTACCCTTGGTTCTCACTCAGTTCGAGCAATATTTTTTAGTATAAATTTTATGGCCAATACATAAGAAGATAAAATACTACTGAATAACAATAATTTTGATAACCTATCTCTGAATATTTTCAATCAAATTAACATCTTGTCTGTACAATGGAGACCAAAATGAAACACAATGTTTCAAGTAAGGCAGTTTTAATGTGAATTGCCTTCAAAATTATGAACCAGTTAATCTTGCATCTGTAGTGGGAAAACTTCTATAGAGTCTGATAGAGAATACGAAGCTTTGTGAGATCATTTACTAAAATGGGATGGTATAAACAAGAGCCGACATGGATTCATTAAATGGAAATCTTGCTGTACTACTCTGTTTATCTTTTTGAGGATATACAAAATAGTTGGGTATATAGTCAGAATTGTAAATTGCTTTCAGAGTGGTCATGTATTGTTTTCATTTGATTATATACACGATTGTTCGGTACTGTTTTCGTTTCATTATATGCGTGGCAGCCATGTATATATCTTTCATAATGTTTTCAGGATTACCTACAATATTTGAGTGTTGTGTATGTGACTATGCTGTTCAAATTAGTAGCTTTAAAATAGTAATAAGTAAAATTGAAAATGGTTGTTTATATAATCAAAGTTATAGATTGCTTTAATGGTTCTCAGTTCTTGTGTAGTTAATTTCATATAACAGTTGTGTATATAGCCTCAGTCATATTTTGTTTGCAATATTTCTGTATTTTGTGAAATATCCAAGTGCTATAAGAAATGAACAAAAATAAATATGGTGAATTGTGGAGAAAAAAAACATAGTCTAAGTCTTCAAATTAACTGTAGGTTTAGAGGAACATATATATAATCTTTGATAGGTTGTTTAGGTATTCATAATGAATCTTAAGTTTCAAATAGACAGCAACTACCTGTTGTAGAAACCTACAAATGTAGAGGACGACGTTTTGAAAGTTTTCCGCCTTTTGTCTTCAGGTCCAACTAAAAATCCAAAGGCGGAAGACTTTCAAAACGTCGTCCTCCACACTTGTAGGTTCCTACAACAGGCAGTTGCTGTCCATTTGAAACTTAGATTCAACATATATATATATATATATATATACTATACTACATGAAATAAACAAAATACACCTTTGATAAGATTCATTGAATTGGCAGAGAGTTAATTGCTGATTTAACTTTTTTGTGATTCACTACTGCTTATAAAGTTATATGAATTATAGTTTTTATACAAGTTTCATGTCCATGAATAAGTTCTTTATATTGCAGTTTGAAGAGATAATTGATGAACAATCTAGGTTAGGTACGCATGGATGAATTAAAAATAAAATCAGAATTGATATACCTGATGCTTGCCAATTGTAACTTTGTCTTAAGGCGTTAAGTGTAACTATATATGACTATGGGTCTAACACTTAGTAACAGTAACACTCTTAACTTCTAAGTCTGTTTAAGCAATTCGTAACTAAATTCTTATAAATTACAAAAAATAACAAACCTCAACTTTTGCAGATCATCATCGGAAAAATGTTGAACTCCTAAACATGAATCAAACTTCATGGACGATAATATTCCTAGGTGAAGTAAAACAATTGAGACAAAATTTAAATAACAACCAAACACCTTCATTATAGCTATTTCCGTACAAACGTGTCCTGACAGAGATCTCTGGTGTGAAATGCAGCAGAAAAACAAAAATATATATATATTTACGTATATATATCGCTCTAACAATAAATACTTAAATTGTGTATTATACTATTAATGGAATGGTCAATTCATAATTAGGCCAGGAGTGACAAGGTAGTTGAGCATGTCGGATTGAGAATTCGAGGGCTCATGGTTCATGCCCCTTTAAAAAAACGCTCTCCGCACTCTGGGCTATGTGTATTGTAATATTATTGGTTTGTTTTGGATTTCGCGCAAAGCTACACGAGGGCTATCTGCGCTAGCCATCCCTAATTTAGCAGTGACAGACTAGAGGGAAGGCAGCTAATCAACACCACTCACCACCAATTCTTGAGCTACTATTTTATCAACGAATAATGGGATTGACCGTAACATAATAAAGCACCTATGGCTGAAAGGGCGAGCATGTTCGGTGTGACGGGGATTCCAACCCGCGACCCACAGATCGGATGTTGAGCGCGTTAATCACCAGGCCATCTAATGTTATAAAAGAGATGGTCTTCGATTAGAATAGCCCAAGAGTAGGCAGTGTATGTTGCCTAGCTGTGTTTCTCTTGCCTTTCAGTTCAAACTGAGGGACTGCTAGCACAGATATCCTGTATGCAGCTTTGTAGAGTTTCCCAATTACAACCGTTTCAATGATTTCATAATTACTTTAAGTTAGAGTAAAATGCGCATATATTCAGTTTAATAAAGAACAACAAGTTAAATAACAGTAATATTTTATGCATTGTATAAAGATTTTAGATAGAAAGAGCGTATATCTATTGCCATTTACGTTTCTTGCATTTTTTTTATTAGTCCGAAACATATCATAAGAATATTTGTCAGGATCAGAGATAAGGAAATATTTGGTGCCCATTCTTTGATCGGTGACCTATAGTTAGGTGGTTTAATGTTATTACATTTACAAAGTGGCCAAAAGCATTAAACTGGGCATGGTGCTTACTTTTTGATTTCAGCCAAGGAGCTCTTTACAGTCAAAATAGTTTTGAACAGTGCACAAAAATCAAAATTGCTAACGCCAGCGTAGAAATTTGTTCACTTACTCATTTCTAAGATCAAACGATGGATGATATACTATTCAAATTAAGTTCCTTAATAGCTTGACATGAATTTGGTCAATAAAAGTAATTATAGTTCTTTTAATATAGTAATAACATTAGAATAGTTCTGATTGTTAAAGCTAGGGTAAAGAAACAATTGTAGTTAGTGTAATAAGATTATAATTTCAATTTCTACAATAGTAATGATTAAACATAACTTTAAAACTAAACTTTAATGGAACAATTAGATATATTAACTTATAAAGCTAAACATGAAATTTAAATTATTTTATATTATATTGTTACGTCTCCGTTTGTTAATTAATTTTCCGTAACTTCGTTCCGACGAAACTTTAGC